AAAAGTCGGGCTTCCCTGGTGGCGCAGTGGTTGAGAGTCCATCTGCCGATGCAGGGGACACAGGTTCGTGTCCCGGTCCGGGAAGATCCCACATGCCACGGAGCGGCTGGGCCCGTGAGCCATGGCCACTGAGCCTGCGCGTCCGGAGCCTGTGCTCCGCAACGGGAGAGGCCACAACAGTGAGAGGTCCGCGTACCACACACACACAAAAATAATAAAAAAAAAAGAAAAAGTAAAAGAATCTTGAACTTCTGGTTTCTGGGAATCCTCTGGGCTGGAAGAAGGGCCTCTACTTTGCCAGAGGGGAGCAGCTTCCCTTTACCTGGAGGCTGCAAAGACCTCCTTGAGGCAGATGCCTCCTGAAATGATGCTTCTAAAGATTTGCCCCTGCCACCCTTAGGCGTTTCTAAACCTCAAGCTAACGTCAGGTCTTAGCATGTGGAGACGTACTGTTCCAGATAAGAGAAGAGAGGGATTATCCTCCACCAAATGCTGCAGGAGCTGGATGACCTGCATAATACGTACCAGCAGGGACCAGGACAACAAATATAGGAGTGGATTTTGGAGGTTGGTAGACCCAGGAGGGTGAGCTGGAGAATGGTAGAATGACTGGCTAGGGGAGAGTTTATTTTATTTTATTTTATTTTGGCCACACCACCCGGCTTGCGGGATCTTAGCTCCCCGACCAGGGATTGAACCCAGGCTCTCGGCAGTGAAAATATGGAGTCCTAACCACTGGACAGCCAGGGAATTCCCAGGGGAGAGTTTATTGATATGGGAGACAAGGATGCCTACCCTCCTATGACTCAGGATTTAATTTCCTGGCAAAGACACCTGAAGCCAAATGCCTTGCTGGCAATGACTCCTTGAAGCTCAGACAAAACAACAGTATACAGCAATTGAATCGAAGATGTCTGAATTGCCTCAGCAGTGTATTGAGGAAGGAGACAAAATGCTCAGAGAGGCAGGCTTGCTAGAATGGAATTGTGATGCAAGATGAGAGAATCCACAGGTGACTGTGTTGCTTCAGGTGTTATCAGCACCCCTCTTAGCACAGCAGTGGGGTCTGGCTGGTGCAGGACCAAATCTCAGAATCCCATCATGGGGGTATTACTTCCTATAACCCATTCTAGCACCCAGTGTTTTAGAATGCGTTCCCCCAGATGCAGACTTGGAGATAGGGATTTGCATGCAAGTAGTTTATTTGGGTGGTGATCACAAGAAATAGCCGTAGCAGCCTAAGGATGTCACGACAGGGAAGGGAAGGGAGCCAATAAAGGATATTGTTGAGCAGGTTACTGTTGTGGGTAACTAGGGCTCAATGCTACTGGGGACCTCTGGGAGACAGAGTAGCATATACCTCAGTGTTACCCCACCCCAGGTGAGGGAGCTGGGGTAATTATTCTCCAACTCTAATCTGTCATTGACTGACAGATGCTTCTGGAGGTACTAACTCCCCAGAATTTCCAGCCTGCCTTGCATTCTGAAAGCCCTCAGGTGGCGAGTAGCAGGTGCCTGTGGTAGGATGCTGTGACAGGCACAGGAACAGTAAAGGAATACAAGCAAAACGCCAAGTGTGTGTGCCGGCCACGTGGCTATCCATTTGAAAATATTTTTTAAATTATTTATTTATTTAATTCATTTGTGGCTGCGTTGGGTCTTAGTTGCAGCACACAGGACCCCTCGTTGTGGCGCTCGGGCCTCTCTCTAATTGTGGCGTGTGGATTTTCTCTTCTCTAGTTGTGGTGCGTGGATTTTTCTCTTCTCTAGTTGTGGCGTGGGTTCCAGAGCGCGTGGGCTCTGTAGTTTGTGACACGTGGGCTCTCTCGTTGAGACACACGAGCTCAGTAGTTGCCCCGCGGCATGTGGGATCCTAGTTTCCTGACTAGGGATCAAACCTGCATCCCCTGCATTATGAGGCAGATTCTTTACCACTGGACCACCAGGGAAGTCCCCTATTTGATAAATATTTATGGGGTATCTCCTGTTCTTGGCACTAGGGGTACAGCAGGGGAGTAGGACACGTAGTGCCCACCCATACAGTTTCCCTTCTACCTGGGGAGGCAGACAATAAACTGGCAAACAAAACAACTACAGATTGTGAAATGTGCTCTGCAGACGGTGCTATGCTGTGATGAAGGATTATTGGGGGCTGCGTGCGAGGAGCGGAAAGGGCAGGTCTCTCAGGAAGAGGCGTTTCAACCAAGACCCAAGAGGAAAAAGAGGAGCCAGCCCAGGAAATGCCGTTTGTGCCCAGGAAATGCATTCCACGCACAGGGAACAGGAAGGACAAAGGTTCGGGGCAGGAAAGAGCATGGTGCGCTTGAGTAGCAGGAAGGAAGAGGAAGGAGGAAAGAATTTGGCACCCATGAGGTGGAAGAGGACAGCAGGGCTAGGTCTTAGGGCTATGGCAAGGAGCCCACGTTGGTTTTTTTGTTTGTTTGTTTGTTTTGTTTTTCTGGCTGGGCCATGCAGCATGCGGGGATCTTAGTTCCCTAATCAGTGATCCAACCCGTGCTCCCTGCAGTGGAAGCGTGGAGTCTCAACCACTGGACCGCCAGCGAAGTCCCCAGGAGCTTAGGTTTTATTCTAAGTGCAATGGAAAGCACTGGTGGGTTGACTCTGGAGTGGCATGATTGATTTCTCTTTTAGAAGGCTCACTCTGGTTGCGATAACACCGTCTATTCTCCCATCCACACTACAGAGTCTTGTTGAACGTTAAGCTCTGGGGACACCCAGGAGACTTAGCCAGTATCCCTGCCCCTAGGGGCGTGCTCAACCCTCCTCCCTGTCTCAACTCTGCCACAGCCACCCCCATTCCCTGCCCCGTGACACTTGACACAATGTGATCCATTGGAAGCTAGTTTATTTCGGTTTATGTTTCATGGGGCTGGGCTAGGCTGGGCTGGGAGGTGGCTGGGCTCTCAAGCTTGGCTCTAGGGGCCTAGGTCCGCTTCTTCGGCACTGCGGCGGCCGAAGTCCATCCAGCCATATGCTGCTTCCTCTTCCACCCACGGTCCCTGCTTCTTGGACAGGCCTGAGGGTCAGAGGTGGGAGAGGTGGTGAGGACGGGGGAAGGGTACCTAGCTTCTGGAGACTGAGGCCAGGGCCAGCCTGGGGGGACCTTGGCTAAAGCAGGCTGGGCAAGGCAAGTAGGGACTGTTGTCAGCAGCTCCTACCTGCTATCAAGTGTGAGGGATCCTGGAGCCCCAGCTGCCTTCGGTGGTGAGAGGCTGGGCCCAGCCGGTCCAGCCCACGTGGCTCCTGGCCCCTATTGGCCCCTGGACCCGAGGGTGCATCTTGCAGGTGGGAGCGGGGCTTCCAAGAAGCTTCAGAGAAGGTGGCCAGAGCCAGCACCAAGATCAGCACATACGCACACAGTCGCTGCATCTTGTCTGCAAAGGGGAGAGGGGTGGAGCTTAAAGGTGGGGCTGTCCAGGCACCCAGAGGCAGGGCCAGGACCCTCCCTGCTGACGGGTCTGCAATTCTGCGTGGGGTTGTGGTCTGTTCCTCCAGGTCCTGCCAGATCCTCCCCTAACTCCCAACCTCAAGACTTGCCCCTTTGCTCCTTACCTACCCTAGTTACAGTGACTGTTTCTCTTGGAGGAATTTAAAAGCCAGAACAATGGTTTTCAAACTGTTCTGAAGAATTTGAGGCCACGTGAGAGGTTCTGTAATGCTTAAGTCTTGCAACTGAAAGTGAACTTTTTTTTTTTTTTTTTTGCGGTACGCGGACCTCTCACTGTTGTGGCCTCTCCCGTTGAGGAGCACAGGCTCTGGACACGCAGGCCCAGTGGCCATGGCCCACGGGCCCAGCCGCTCCGAGGCATGTGGGATCCTCCCGGACCGGGGCACGAACCCGTGTCCCCTGCATCGGCAGGCGGACTCTCATGCACTGCGCCACCAGGGAAGCCCTGAAAGTGAACTTTTAAATAGTAATAGGAATGGGATACGCACACTCAGCTGCTCACACCTTTCTATGCAGCCAACCAGCACATTCACTGTGTAGTGGGGTCACCCTGTTTTTGTGCAGCCTTCGGAGGAAAGGTTCTCCTGCCATTTTCACTTACCTGAGGACTATCCTCTGATTATAATCTAGCAGTTAAAAAACAAACAAACAAACTGAAACTGTCACCATTTGCAGCTGTGTGTCAAGGTGAATCAAGTTTGGGGAAACCAGAATACAGAAATAAACCGGACACTCAAACAAATCTAAAATTTATCGGAAGTAAATAATAAAAATGTTGCCTTCGAAGAATACATTTGTATTAATAAATTACTGGTTTCATCTGTTTTCTCTGTTAGATTTCTTTTGGAAGAGAAAGGGTTCTGCTGCTAAAGAAACAAACCTGAAAAACCAGTGATCTAGAGCGATGCTGTCCAATATGGTAGCCACCAGCAACATGTGGCTCTTTACATTTAAATTAATAAAAATTAAAAATTCCTGGGACTTCCCTGGCGGTCCAGTGGTTAAAACTCCGTGCTTCCTCTGCAGGGGGCACGGGTTCAATCCCTGGTCAGGGAGCAAAGATCCCACATGCTGGGTGGCCACACACACACACACACACACACACACACACACACAAATTCCTCTCTTGCACAAGCCACATTTTTAGTGCACATGTGGCTGGCGGATACCGTATTGGACAGTGAGGCTGTGGAATGTTACCACCAACATGGAAATTTCCATGAGACAGTGCTGGTCGAGGAAAGAGCTTGAGATGGGTCTAGGAGCTGTAGGTTCCAGTTCCAACCCTGCCCAATTTGTGTGACTTTGGGCAAGTCACATCCCTCTCTGGGCCTCAGTTTTCTCCCCCGAGAGATGGGAGAATAGTCTTCATCCTCACCCCGCAGGGCTGGGGTGAGCATGGAGTCAGGGGGTCAGGGAAGGGCCCTGGTTGAGGCAGCAGAGCAGCTTGAAGGCAAGGGCTGGGATGCCAGGGTGGGTCCTAGAGCTGAGATCTAAGCCAGCTAAGGGCTAAGGGAAGGCTCCCAGCCCTGGAGACACTGAGGTGTGAGGCTGCTAACTGGATGAGGGCAGGGGTCCCATTAACCCTCCTCCCAGCATCGCCCCTCCCTTCCTGGGCGCTCTCACCTGCAGAGTTGGGAGATGCGTGTCGCTGCTGTTGGCCTGGCGCCTCAGTTCTCTGCTCTGCTGGGCGCTCCAGCCTGACTTATAAACCCTCAAGGGCCCTCCCAAACCCTCCTCCCCAGGAGGCCAGGCTCCCCACCGCAGAGGAATAAGGATGGGCACCCGTACCTCAGCCCCGCCCCACCCTGTCATTTAGTCAGCCGTCCAGATGTGGGGGAAGGGAAGGCGAGTTGAACTTCACAGAGAGAGGGGCAGGGGCAGAGTGGGGGCAATTCTTCAGCTGGGCATATCAGGCGGGAGACAGGCTCCCTGGGCTCAAGACAGAGCCCCCCGCCATGTCCTTGGGGTCAGCAGCCTGGTGATCATTCCTTGGACCACATCCCAGTTGGATGGACCGAGTGACCTTAGATTCAGAGGAAGCATATTTCCCGAGATGTTCATGTTTGAAGAGCAGGGAGTGTGTGAATGTGGAGTGATGTATTGATCCCCTGTCCCCTCTGTTGGGCTCTGCAAACAGGACGTGTCATAGTTATCAGGAGCAATGGGCCGTGGGCTGATGGCCCCGCTCTCTCTGCCTAGTGGCTGCGTCCTGGTTGCCTCTGAAGCCCCTTCACCTCCCTTACCTGGAAAACCCTGAGCGTCCCCCTTCTGATGCCTTTGACGCCCTCTGCGCTGGGCTGGGTTTAGCTTGGGGTTCCCCATCATCTCTCGGGTCTGTCCCTCCTCCCCCACCCCTTGCATCCCCCATCAAAGCCAGCTCCTTGAGGTTCCTGCACTTCCAGGCTCCCTCATTTTGTTTTCAAAGCAAGACAGTAATCTGCACTTTTCAATATACATCTTTAAATGGTTAGAAAGAGACTAAAGCATTTGCCCGAATGTACCAGAAAACCAAAGGGTGCGTTTGGTCAACTTATTTGATAAACTGCTGCATCAACCTGGTTTGGGTGGATATAACTAGCTCTAGGCTGTGTTTGATTTTTCCACAGTTGGGGGTAGAGATTTAGCTCTTGTTCATGTGTCATCAGGGCCCTTCCTTGTCTGGGGGAGTTTTGATGCCCCTGGCTATCATAAGGGGCCGTGGTACCCACGCTCACAGCCAGACTTGCTGAAAATGAACAGGTGATGAAAGAAGCAGGCTGTGAAGTGTCCATGGCAACCAGTGGCCAAACGTTCTGATAAATAACCACTCACATCTGGGGCAGGACTCAGCGACTCAGCAGATGAAATAAATGAAAACGACAAAAACGGGGCAGGCATTGTTGATAAGTAATTGAATCACAGAATCTCAGAGATGGAAGGGACTTTGAGGGGGCTTGGGAGAAAAGGTGGGGTGGGGAGCAGCTCTGCTCACGGGCTAGGGGAATAAAGGCGTTTGCGTTGCTGTGGTAACAGGAAATTATAAGCTTACAGCAGAGCCCTGGTTGTATAGGGCCCAAGACTTGATTTCTGCTGAGGAGGGTGTTATGCTCCTTTGACTGTTCTTCTGCAGGCTGGTTGCTGGAGGCGTGGCCACTGCGCAAAATAGAAGCAGGTACTCCCATGCAATAGGTGATGGTGGAAGACAGCTGCTGCTGGTGGGCGTTGGTGGGCCTGCGGGGGGCGGGGGCTCACAGTCACAGAAACTGCATGTTCTCCTCACAAGGGGAGCTAGTCCGATGGCAAAGGGAAGGGTCTCCCGGCTCTGTCCTTTTCCAGTTTTGGGCAGATGGCTGTTTTATCCCCCCCAGGAAATGAAGGAAGTCACTTGGAGAGGAGTCTTGAAGATGATGTACATAAAGCACAGCTGCCCAGAATATCGTGGGCATCTAATTTGTTTGCATCTTCTCCCCTTAGCCTCTCTGGGTCTCAGTTAGCCTCATCTGTGAAATGGGAATCACTCATTCCTACCTCACAGGGCTGTGGTGAAGGGGGAATGTGACAAGATCTATGCACACGTTTTGCATACACAGTCCTGAGTTTACATGACTGACCGAGGAGAGCTGGGCCGGAAACTCAGGTCTCTATCTTCCTAGTTCTGGGATCTTTCTCCTCCCAGTGAGGGTGTGGTGGGCAGAATAATGGTCCCCCAAAGAGGTCCACACCTCAATCGGTGGGGCCTGTGAAGATGTGACAGTGCATGGCAAAAGAGATGTTGCACATGCGATTAAGGTTACAAACTTTAAAATAGGAAGTTTACCCTGGATGATCTGAGTGAGCCCAATTTAATCAGATGAGTCCTTAAAAACAGAGAGCGCTCCTTGGCCAGAGGCAGAAGTGATGTGGCTGAAGGATGAAACAGAGATTTGAAGAATGAGAAGGACCAGCCCTTGCTGGTCTGAAGACGGGTGGGGGGCAACGAGATGAGGGATGCACGTGACCTTAAGGAGTGAAGTGTTTCCCCCTGACCACCAGCAAGGAACAGGGATTTCAGCCCCATGACCGCAAAGAACTGAATTCAGTCAACAACCTGGATGAACTTGAACTTGGATTTGTCCCTGGCACCTCCAGAAAGGAATGCAGCCCTGGCAGCACCTTGATTTCTGCCCAGTGGGCCATGCTATACCTGGACTCCTGACCTACAGAACTGTGAGGGAATGAATTTGCATTGTTTTAAGCTTCTAAGTATGTGGTAATTTATTATGGCAACACTAGAAAATGAATCCAAGGAGTTCCAGCCTTTTGAGGGCTTCTGTCAGTGAGAACGGACCCTGAGTGAGTTTGCGGGTGATTTTTCCAGTGCAATTAAGGGAGATGTTTGTCAGGGCATCTGACTGTCCATCTAGTCCATTTTTGTTCCAGTTATCGAGCATGTGCTGTAAACCATGGTCTGGATGAGGCCCTGGGGATAAGAGGTGACTGTGACCAGCCCTCTCGTTGCTTTGGTGGAGTTTAGATTCTTGAGGAGGGGGGACACATAAAATAGACAAAAGCGATGGTTCCCTGTCAAGGGGAAAAGCTTCCCTGGACTCCGCTGCCACCATGTCCCCCGCTCCTCGCCCCAGCTACACTCCCTGCTGCCAGGACTGACCTTGGGAAACCTCTGATGAGCTGCTGTCAGGAAGGCAGTGCTTTGGCTTCCTAATCAGTTATTGATATGGAAAAAGGGAGAGGTTGACGGGTGACTCAGTCACCCTGCCCCAGGCAACGGGGCCTTGGAGGGTGTGAAGGTGCTGGGACAAACAGTGGCACCTGGGTGCCGTTCATATCCACAAGGGCATCCACGGTTCCTCCCAGGGCTGGGACTGGGGCTGGGGAGAGGGAGGTGGGTTCACGACTTCTGGCCTCACCTGCTGTCCGAAGGTCATAAGGTAGCAGGACC